TCTGTCTATCGGTAACTGATAAATTCATGAGTGAACTGTGTTGATGAGGTTTGCGACTGGTGAGACAGTAACAGACGACGTTCAGTATAGAAATGAAAAAGTCGCCCCTCATTATCCGTACAATGAGGATCTACTCAGAATATATAAAAAAATACTCCATGCAGGCATAGTCGCGATAATTCTTGTTCTTATTAATAACCAATAAGCAATAACAGATTAGGACAATAGCAATCTCCTTCGGCGTCACAACTGCACTCTGATGGAACGTACGTTGACATGTCGAAAAATATACCATATACAGCATTTACGTACGTTGATTTTAATTAAACGAAATAAACGTACCAGACAAAGGTAACTGTTTACTGCGATCCAGTTTAGCAAGATTAAACACAGTAGTCAAAGTTGTCCCTTTTTGTAAGACATAAGCTTCAAAAGAAAATAAGAATACTAAACCTCTGAAAGGATGCCCGAGATGAAGGGATCTTTCAAACTGGAAACAATGGTAATGTCAGCGCTATCCCCAAAAAGTCAGTCAGTACATACGGCTACTTGAAGAACAATGTTACTGACAAAGCTGGTGATGTGGAGTGGAGACGATATAAGGAACTTCGCTGATTCGCTTTTAGCGTATTTGTTTTTGCCCCATTTTCCAAGCTTGGTAATACACAGAAGAACAACAAGTATCAACAAACTGTGTTCCAACTTTTGAGCGAATCTATGAGCGGTCACTCCAAAAGCGATAGGTATGATTTTTCTGTTTGATGTAGCAGGGTTAATACACATTCCCCATCGCTTTCAAACGCTTTTATGGAACAGCATTCCAAATTACTGCATTCATTTCCCGACAAGAGCATCATTCCTTAAGACTAGGATTTTTAAATTTTGGTGGGCTCTCTTGAGAAATCAGTGCGGTTTCTGGCTAAATAAGTAAAAGTAGCCGTTGTATCAGGAAGTAGGACGATTAAAACTAGGGTTTCTACAGTTTGCGCATTACTCAAAATGTCTAGCTTCAACAACACCCTTGACTGGACTAGATAAAAGAATTCTCCTCCGTATGAAAGTCCGAAAAGCAAGAAAGTTATTTACCATAAAAAGAAAGCTTTTTCGCACAACATAGATTTGCACATCAATTTGGTTTCAACGGAATACTCTTTAGGTCTTCAGAACTCTATTTTGGGCTGCAAATTTTCTACTCGTGGTAGATGAGCATACCTGTGTGAATAGCAGAGTTCAACACATTTTATCCTTTGGCCAACACACCTGAGGTGGTACAAAAAGGGAGCTAGATGGGCTTGGAGGAAAATTGTAAAACCCAGTGAGTTCGCGTGCATGCTTGATAAATTCGGGGACCAAGCAGTTCGCGATAAAGAAACGGATGCCTAATTCATTTGTCATGATTTCTGTTCGATCCCAATGCAATATGGAATAATTCACGGGCTAATGCTTGATCAGTCAACCAAATCACATCTGGGATCATTTTTAATATTTGATTGTTTTCCTCCAGAATTAAACAGCCTCAGCAAGAGCAGTCACTTCAAACTGCGAATTAAACGTGCATGAAATCCGCCTCCCAACAAATTCATGCGGAAATCGGATAACACCGAGGAATCCACTTAATCGGGTCAATCTTTATTGTTTCCGTAACATTTCCCTGGTTTCATTCTGTCAAGCGATTCTGTGGTTATCTGGAGGAGCTTCGTGGCTCAGTTTCGTTACTGCATTCCTTGGTGGATCCCCAAAGAAATCGCTCTGATTAAATCGTGCCGTAATTCGATGTCCTGTATACCACATACATCTACATCGACTGGCTGCTGTTCACAACTTTGTTTCTTACATTCCATCTTTCTGAAAATGCCTCATCATTATATCCCGTGCTCTTCCCACTAGACTTATATCTTGACTGTCTGGGAGCCAGCCTGTAAAATGGCTCTCCTCATCTTCATGTATTTTAAACATGGAGAACTTCAAAGTTATTTTTTGAGTACAATCAGGGTTCTTCAGTATCACTGTACAAGTTATCAAGTTGGCTACTGTCCAGGTTAATCTAAATTGTTGATAGTTCTTGCGGTCAAACACGTGGTTTACCAAAAGATTGGTTAGAAAACTCCCTACGTGCATTTTTGAGCAGGTTGTGATAGTGGTTCTACGTCTGCTGCCCACTGCCGGCTCCGATTTTGTCTTCCATGTCCGTGACAGCAGCACTTTGCACGTCTTTATTATGTTTTTTTTAAATAAACCTTTTTGACCCTCACCAACCAATGTTATTACCGGTCAGGAATTTTATGTTCATCACACTAAGATATCGTTGGCGTGATCTATGAGCAATAAGTTTCCAGGGCCTAAAGAACTGAAGGAGAAATTTAGTAAACACGTGGACTAGGTATATAGGTCTAAAGTTTGTTTTAGCGTGGTATCAGTGGAGGAAACCGAAGCTGAATGACTGAAATACCAGATCTGGTTCATCTAAAGCCCAAACATGCCTGGTCTTATTAGCTTTTCTCTGCAATAACTGGATTGTGCTATTTGCAATGCTATTGTTTTTATACACCAACGTTTACAGGCGTTCGTGTCTTGGTTTGGAAATGGGAAACTTAAAAAATCCACTTGTAGAACCAGCGAGTTTATAGGATTTGAAGAAAGTTTTGTTATAAAGACGCAAGTACACAACAAACCCGTAAGCATGAGAAAGCGGCTTATAATTTTTGATCTTCTAATATATTATGTAATTCTTACTATAAAGGGGTACCTTTTGCATAACTTCGATTAGTACGGTTTAGTTGAAAGAAGCCAGTTTCATGAACTCAAACTCTCGTGCCTTCCCACTACCTCTTCTCAGCCACCCTAGAATGGCTTTAAACACAGGCTACTGAATTGGAACATCTGCTTCTTTAAACCTTACCTAGATTTTTCACCACATTTCAAACCTCAATTATGCATTTTATCAATACTGCTGAATTCTGCTGCGTGTTCAAGTGGTGCTACAACTATGTTATGCCTCAATAACTTTGGTTGTTCATATGCTCGTCTTATTCCTAACTGGAAGCTACTATCCGTTATTTAGTTCACAATTTGCAATTTGTTACGTTTTTTATTGATTATCATAAGAGAGCTATCTTCGGATACCACCTCCTTAAATGCCCTGCTTCTCGGCTCCTTAAGGAGTTTTTTTATCAAAAATTTCTTTGGCAAGCGACATCCTCGCTTTATTCGATACGCTTGCCGCGCTATCTGTCACGTTCACTACCTGGTAATGGCCTTTACATTTTATTTCATAGTACGTTTATTTGCAGTTTCGCCTTTTGCCGGCGCACGAATTTTCAACTAATTCTGTGCTGCTATGTTAGCTGATCTCTGTAACTGGCTACGTTAGTTCGCGATACACTGCAAGCAAGGCTGCTCCAACAGATTCTCAATTAACGTTGGTCTATCATAATTATTCTTCTTAATATCCTGTCCCTGTCCTCGAATATTCCTCATTTTGGAGAATTCCATCGCCATGTATAGCCGTTCAAGTAGCTTTCTTATGTAGCGCGGATTTGTTTTCACATTAACCATATTTGTTAAATGTCCATGGTCTTATGAGACTTTTAATAAAGTGTCTCTATATTTTCCCATATTTTTACATTTAATGTGTTTTATGAAATAGCGTTCAACTATTCATATGAGTCTTAACAGTTTTTGTTTTAGCTTGTCAGCCCATTCTTTGGTTTTCCAAAGTGAGCTTTCATTTTTTCGAAAGTAACTGCGCATTAAATGACTGTAGATAACTGTTGAAATGACTGGAAATGACATTTGAAAGAATAAATTGACAGGCGAAGTTTAGAAGAGAGACGTTAGGCGTTTTGCAACGCGGCTTATGCTTTGGCTTTTCTGTGCTTACTGCGCCATAAATTGAAAATGGGTGAAATCTATTTTTGGAAAATGTGTACCAAATGAAATATTTAAGTACGTATCACCTAATACAGATGGCATTCCTCAAACAGGCACCCCTAATATTCTTCGCCTTGGGTTTAAAAACAAGTTTAATCCTGTGTCTAATTTAGGGGCAGTAAGCTGGTTCTTGGCTCCGGTCACCGATATTTTTGATCGCGTTTATTGGCAGATAGAATTTCTGGCTAGGTAGCTCAACTGTTAATTTCTGCTAATGCACTAGAGTGTAAGGAGGATTTTAGTCGTTCTCGTCTCCACCTGAAGTACGGTTCACCTGTCTACCTGTCTTCAAAATTTCGCAGTTATTTCTTTTTATTTCATCAGAATTTCTTTCTTGAGGCATCTAGCCATGGGTAAGCTATCTGCCTGATAGATTCTAGTAAACGATAGCGTTTACAGATGTTGAGTCCCCATATCTACGAATGTTTTCACTTTTCAGTCAGTGTAACCCATAGTATCTAAACTGGTTGTGCTTCAAGCCACAGCACACAAGTTGCATCAGTTATCGTCCTCCATTTACCTATGAAGTATTTCTCTAAGAAGAGCAAATCTTTGGAAGCTATGCTTTTAAACTTCGTTTCAAGTGGAAATTTTATCGCTTGTCACAAATGCACCCAACGAATTCTTCCAGTGTGATTCATCGCCTTCCACAGCCATCATATGCAATCGTCTCAACCATAAAACGGTAACCTTTAGTTATTCTGTGATGTTTGGTTTGGCTGCTTTAATCTCATTAACCACACTTTACCATTTTTCAGCAGCCATATTATACATATGCATGCTTACATTCCGTCTTCATATGTACAGGACTTTGCTGGAGATAGGTTGATTGTGCTTATTTGATGTATTGCTGCGAGACACTTTGTAGCGGAAGTCTTTATTCACCTCTGTATAATATGATGAAAAATATTTTATGTAACCTTTATTTGAGTAAGGAATAAAAATGATGCAAGAATCATTGGCCGGATACCTGAGCTGAGTTTGTAAACAATCAAACAGCATCTACCAAAAAAACATTCTTTTATCAAGACTTCGTGTGCCGTAAGGTCCTGCAACCTTCACCAACTCACCTGTCTCCAGAAACACCAGGGACTTCTGATAGTCTTCAAACAGTTTCTTTTCAAGTTTGCCAGTCGACAAATCCTCCAAGAGCTTTGCGTTGTTCATGACATTTACATAATTTTCGACCGCTCTCGGGATGGTACGCCTCAGATCCTCCAGCTCGTCAATACTCAACTGCTTTGGCTGACCGGTCAAAGCGGACAAAACATGGAACATCATGGTTCCATGTAATAGATCGGGTCTTTCTTTCACCAGTGACCCCGGACCACGAGGTTCCAGCAGAGCATTCTCTAGTGCACTAGGCTCGGATAATCGAGACGCGCAGCAAGCAAGTATTAGTAGACACATGATGTGGGTCTGCGAGTCACGGTACCAACCAGCAAACTGCATTTTCATTTTCAAGTTTCTGGCAATCATTTGGGCGATAGACGCTATAATGCATTCTCGTAGTATCAGTTTAAATATGCTCTCAAGCCTGTAGACTGATCCATCGCAGGATATCAGCTACAACCCATCCGCCCACAACAGCAAACCCGTATGACACAGACATGCACCACACACCTACTCCGTCAGGAAACCGACAAGAGAGGATCGTATATCTCTCAAGGGAATGGATTTCACCTTTAGGGTTGATCGCACAACCACTACAAACGAAATTCACGCAAATCCTTAGCACACTGTTTGGCATAGATATAGAAGTAAATGAGTATATTCGTTCATCAAACCGAAATTGAAATTTGTGTGTGCTTAAACATGTTGCGCACAACATCCGTCTGCATTTCAATCCACCACATTCGGATTCGCCAGACTAAACAACGGATTGAGTACACGCCTACATTTTCGGCGTATGGCTTCCACAGGCATTAACACAGAATTTGTGAGATTGAGATCTATTTGAATAGCCAATCATAATGCAGATGAAATTTTCACATTTGTGGACGGCCAATATTCAACTCTTGAATGCTTAGACAATAATCGTGCATATAATTCTTTCGTTGGTTAGAGACCCTAGAGTTCCCGGTAGTTCCAGAAATTGTCCGTAACAACTAAGGATAATTTATCGCTTTCAATTGAGATTATTATCATTTTTCATGGGTTTGAGTTCAGTTATCAATTAAGTAATTAATGCAAGATGCCTTTGCTGTTATTGCCTTTGTACAAAATATAAAAGTCTGAATAAACTTGGGTGGTGCCGGATGTAACAAAATGAAATCGGACTGCATTTGACTACTGCCTGCTTATTTTCCTTTTTCCAGGTTAACTAAGAAATGCCTTTCGAAAAACCTTAGATTTTCATGAAAAATTTTTTTTCACTCGAATCAACAAAGTTTTAAGGGGTTGTCCAACAGACCCGTTTGACTTAGTAACTGGATATCCGGTTTTTAGCTCTCTGATGCACGGTTCTGAAGATATTATGCTCTCACTAACAGGCCTTTGAGTGAACTTCCAATAAAATTTGGAGTAAAATTTTCTGGTCGTATTCTCTTTTCTGAGATAATAAACGTGACCATAGATAATGTAAAAATAGCCTTTTGTATAAAACTTGTGGTGATATCAAACCATGGCATGCATTTACTAGCCAATCATGCACCTAGTTTGGGTCGTTCACAACCAACTGACCTTTAGGAGTAAAAAGTGACTTAATTCCGGCGCATACATGAAGGTCCACACATTACAAAACATTCGGACAAAACTGGCATCTTCATGGCAAAACTAGTCAATAACCACTCATTTGCAAACTAATTTGGTTTTTTGTAGAGACTCACCTGGAACCCAACTGAATCTCTCGTTTATGATGTTCTCAGGCAACTGAATGTGCTGCACCAGGCCGCCTCATGTTTCAGTCGTTACGATATCCGAGATATCGCAATACATGTATATCTTTGTAATAAGGTTGCTGAAAATCCGTCGACAGCCCACGACCAGGTGCGCCCCAAAAAGGTCGAAACCGGTCTTGAGCTGTCGACGGACTTTCAGCAACCTTATTATTAGTACATTACAAAGATAGTCAACAACCAAATTTACGCCAACAAAAAATGTTTCCAAGCTTCGTCCGGTTTAAAGTCTGTTTAAATTTTTGCTGCCACAACTAAAAAGGTTCCGTGAACTTGACGCTTAAGCAAATATATAGATCCAGGAAAATGATTTCTTCACGTTATCCTAGCAAAAGGGATTCCGATGTGGTTTGAAACCTGCTTCGTTCCGCGCGCACTTATAGGGTACGTTCGCATGTGGCTAAAGCCGTTGGCTCCGACAGGACCAACAGGACCAGAAGGACCAAAAGTTCAGATCCTACCTTCCCAAGTGAAGTTTACTACTGTTATATACTGTCGGCAGAATAAATATACAATCCATTTGTCAGGCGGTATTTTATCTAACGTGGTCAAAGTACTGTTAAAATCCAAATAACCACCTTGGAAGTTCTGGACTTATCTTGATTTGAATTCAGATGATTGCACCCTACTAACTACGTTCCTCGCCTAACGCAGGCTTGCCCCTAGTCACCAAATGCGTCGGATTCTCAGGTTGATGGTTTCGGTGGACGTGACTCTAGACATGAGAATTATGTCGGATTTTGGCTAGTACCGATCAGTCAGCTGATCTAGAGAAGCTGAAGATGCACTGAATCCTTGAGAACTGCCATATTTATTGGCCGCAATCAGGAAATTTTGAAAACAAGACATTTTCGACTCAAGGAGGAGAATATTCAAATTCTTTTCGAGAATAACTTCCTAAAATAAGTACAACATTTAATGCCAAGGGCTGAAACATTATCCTACTGTCTCAAACGATCTCATAAAATAAACTGGCCAACCACGGCAAATCGCTAAAATGTGTGTATGTCAGTGCATGACAGACGACGTGATATTGTTTTGTTGAGTTACATATATATAAGTAAATTCGATGAATCAAACCAAAGGGATGCGTAGAAAAACACTATTTGGCTTCTGCTCTCAAGACTATTCCTTACTATTTGATACCGTGTTCCTCATTCAGAAGCTGATCGGAAAATATTCTACTACTTTTAGGCACATTCTTCCACCTGCTTGCTTATTCCCGGGCGTCCAAATCGGTTGTGACAAACAATAATGGGAAGGGGTTTTTCAGACTCTTTTGATCGAACCCAAGAATATAAGCTGCTGATTAAACTTGCCACCACCATTGCCAGGTAGGATGCTTGGTAAGTGCCGATCATATATGAATGTGCGAATGATTTTGTTATAAATTTTTCTTGCTTTTAAGATTTCAACAAAGTTCTGGTAAAATGGTTGATGTGTGATCCAGACTGATGGTGAGATTTTAAAGGTGATTAGCCCATAATGACCAACTTGTCGTGGAAGACAGTGTGCATCTTGCTACTTACCAGCGTAATGCCTGATTCTACTTATGGGGCATGCAAGTAGTACGTGATCTTCTTTTAACTCTACCTCGCGTCTACTGGAAGGTGGGGTCTATTATGGAACTTGTGAAACTGATTTGCATCGTTCGTTTACGATCGCGTGGTAGTTAAATAATATCGCCGATAGTTCAAGAAGACACGCGAGGATGTTTATTTTTTAGAAACAAACTTTTACTTTCCTGTCCAATAGCTTGTGACTGATTCAGTTGGTGTTTGCCAATAAATGACTTTGCGGTGGACGGCTTTAATTCTCATATCAGGCAACTGTTGAGTGAGTCGACGCTGAAGAAAGGCTGTCACTTGCAAGCTATACAGTTTAAGTACAATTCAAACGTTGGGATAACGATTTGTTTGGACCCAGACCCATGACCAAACCATGGCATTCAACCTCACTGCATACGAAGTGTCAAGATTATCTTCGTCGGCATTCTCTTGTCTCCTCCGGCTAATAAGAACACATTTCCATGGCGCTTCAGCATAGCTTAAATACGTTACTTCGGAAGTTTGTTCTAAGAAAAAGACACGGTTGGCGCACTGATACAAAAAAAATAGGTTGGAAAAATATAATCCGCAGAACTCTCATAAATGACATAAAAACCCCGGTAGTTTTAGCGATTAGATTTCTTGCACAGACGTTTCACAGAATGCAAGATTTACTGATTAGGTAGATTCAATCCCAGTTTAGTTCATTTTTACTGTGTACAGCCTATGACATACAAAGGCCTTTGTCATGTGCTGACGGCGTAACATCAAGAGATAGCTAGATTATTGCTGGTGCTCATAAGTTTAGTTAAAAAGCCAGTATCATCAGGCCTAGCTTTCTCCAGAATACAAGGCGGTAGCGGTTGACGTAGGATAGCTAAACTATTCTAAATTTCATGACAGTCTATCTTACATGTTCCACCTCAGCCTGAGAGCGCAAATGTTTCTATCGTCCATGTATGTGATTGTCAGCTTGAAAGTCTCCTTCAGGATGCTTTTATGTAACCAGCGTACTGATCTCATCTAATAAATGATAATTCCATGGGCCAATTGACGTGTTTTGTGGCGCTCGTATTATTCTACTGATATGTGTCGCTTAAATAGTGGCGTCTTATTACATTCATCTCGAATCATGAATTCAATCCAAGTATTTCTGGTGGCCCAGTTGCCGCTACCGACTGATGTTAGGAAGGGGTGCACAAATAAAGTGAAGTAACCAAATATGATCGCCTTCAGTGGCATTTTAGTCGTAAATAACGAAGCTGACGATCAAAATAGAATGCATTTATCAGATTACTAGTTGATTTGACTTTGCTTTTATCAGCAAACATACACTGCGTATGCAGCCTATTCTGTTACACATATAATTACGATTGGAAAGCTTTGCCTTCTACAAGGAACATGCGACGTCTGGTTGCCTTTGATTGTCTGATCGCCTCAAAATGCTTGGCTTTTAGATAACACTTCTCGAGTGGGTGCGGTTAGATATGTAGTTAGTCTTTCTGCAATGGAACTAGATAGCGGGGAGGAAGATTACTGGAAAATGTCCGCATCCAGTCCTTAAGATGATTATTGTTCCATTTGCTCTCATGTGTGATCGATAACATAATTGTACCGTAAACCCGCTGTCACGATATTCAACCACTGAACGAAACTGTGTTGTCGTACCACGTACGTGGGGGATGGCGTCCAAACTCCTTATCGGTCAGCTGAGTGACGTACAGTCGGTCTTTACGTCACTGCTAAGATGTTTACGCTTTTACAACATGACGATAGGTTATTCTTTGAACACGCGAATCAGTGAGGCAGTTTAAAGGACCAGATATATTTTTATGCTGTACGGGAGGTAGGATGGATACGCAGCCAAATTATTGCTACGTCAGGTGTGGCTGGCACGAAGTACCCAGAGACACTGGTTAGTAAAATTTAGAAAGAGGAAAAGCGGAATATATGAAGAGCTGATCTTGAGAGCTGCTTCCAAGGAGCGTCCCAATAATACAGCCTGACAAGCGAAGGAAATGGCTCAAAATAGGGCGGCATCGGGTAAGAATATGAACATTACGTTGTGTTAAACAACAGGTTTGCTAGTGAGATTATTTCATGATGTATGTACTTTCGACGGACAGAATAAATAGCTCTGACCACCAAAGGGCGATGATAGAAGGGGAAAAATAGCAGTTAGGCTGGAAACAGGATGAAGCGAAAGTAGAACATATGTCCCTCTGTTTCGTTTACCCTCAGGATTGTTTTGCGACGGAAAACCCCTCCGAGTCAGCTGTTTTTGTTCACCCACCTATATCGTTCTTCTACCTTGGAATTGTAGTCTTATTACTGCCAATTTTCAACCATTTTCCCACTACGTACTGTATCTGATGTCGAGCTAATCACTATCCTGTAAAGAAGTGATTTCTGTATTTTCCATCTGAAACCGTATACTGAATTACCAAAAGCTTCTTAGGTACATGTTCCAAAAAGTAAACATCCACGTTATTATGCTTCAAAGTGAACAAAAACTGCATAAATTGGTGAAGAAAGCCGTCAGAATTCCGATGTTTCTGGGTCTAAATTTTAATTGATGAAGGGAACGCTTCAAGTCCAGTTTCAAGCGGTCAAATTTTCGTTTTGACTTGTACTGGACGTCTGACACTGTCACAGCTGCAGAAAATGACTAAATGAACAGTCGGATGGTAAAATCATATAGTCATTTCTCATTTGAACAAGCGTCCTTCACACCCAACACCTGAACGTTTCAGAGCTAAGGATTCCTTTAATGTCCGCAACTCCTTAGAAAAGAAGTTCGATTGCGTTTGTCTATAGCACGCATAACATGAATAAATTTGCTCGCAGTATCTACAATCAGTTCCTATTTCAAAAGCCAACGGATCCAAATTAACTGGTGACTTCAAAAGACGTGGTAAACTTAGCTTGGGTGGTCTTTTTTTTAAATAAATCTACCTGGCCGGACTCAGTCGAAGTCCTGGCACACTGGTCCGGTGGCGGCGCCCTTAAAATCCCTACACTTCTCTCTACTTATGAGTAGTAAAAGAACACGCTCGTTTACGGTGTAGGTCCTTGCTCCAGGAATTGAGAGGAGATGCAAATTTAACCACCGTTATTTGGTTTTTTATCGACCAGTTTGGTGTTTTCCGCAATACTTTCATATTGTCATCTTTTCAGTACATCGTTTTACACACAGCGCAACTCTCATCATCCAGTGATCTCATTGCAGTAGCGCCACTTGTCATGGCGTTGTTTATCGGGCTTTTGCGCTGGACACCATTGGGCTAGTCGTGCCATTATGGTGTTCACTTTTTGCGCGTAAAATTCAACCATGCTGGCATTGGTCCACACATCGCTAGGTGCGCGATAGCAATAAAGCTATCCTCTAGATGCTGACCCGTTCGTGGAGAATGGAGGGAATTTCAAATCCTGGGGCAGTGTAGATTTTGTAAGTAAAAACACTACAGGGAATAGTAGCGTAATGTTGGATTTAACCAGAGATTCACAAATTGTTAGGAACGAAGTGAGAACTATCTGAATCTAAGAGATTAGGAGGTAATGGCAGTGAAGTGGCCGATCAACTGCATCGACAAAGGGGCAAAATCCTGTTAGGTGTTGTTATTATTTCAAAGAAAGTCGGCTGAAAATCTACGAAGTTTCACAAACTGACTGTGGGTGGCGCCTGAGAAAAAACTCGAAAAATTCTTGCACGCCACCTGGAAAAACTTGCAAAACTAATTTGAAGACTTCAAGAGGTGACGAACGGAATAATGAAATGTGCTGAGAGCACTATTTTTCATACCTTTATACGCAAAGAATGCTGTGTTACAATGCCCCTGCTAAACGTAGTACTATGGTTACTTAAAAAGTTTTGAGTAAAGAGCTTTTGGTTCCACCGCGTAGATGACTGACGACCCTTACCTAAGAATAGTTCTGGCACTCTTCTAAGCGTTCACTTTGTTGATTGAAGTTTTGGATAAATCTATTTCAATTAGTTACATGGATGTCAGAATTATGTTTCGTTTGGAATTTACTTTCGACGAAAAGCGCGCAGCTGTCCTTTCACTTTGCTTTTCACTCCGGCAAACGGTAATAAAATAGGTTAGGCTGACAAATACGAAGCCCTGGCGTTCATACTCTTAGGCATTCTGAAGCGTTAGTATGGCTACATCCAGAATGATCTACGAATACTATTTAAAATGGTACATAACTTCAGCCGTATGTGTATGTTCATTTATGTGTGACGCTAGGATGATACGCTTTATTTTTATTTCCAAAGGTTACGCTTGTTTGCAAAGCTATCTTACATCCTGCCTGCAAATAAATTGACAGCTAATGAAATAACCTTTTCAAGTACCTTTTGGACACTCAGACAGTGGTACCGAAAATCGATCACCTCTGTCTGGACATCTTGCGAAGAAGCCGGTGGAAATATCCGGCATAATTTTAGCCGTTTTCGCTCACGCAAGCCCGTCACATCGTAGCCTCTTGCACCAAGTGGTTTTCTGAATAGTTGCACGCAGTATGCAGGCTCAAATTTGTATCATGGGAATCAGTTGCATGCGAAATTTAAATGCGCTCGCATCCAGGTCATGGAGGGAATACGGTCCATGAAATTATTCATGTCTGTGGGCAATCCAAATAGCAGTTGTCTATCACTCAACACTGCACTACTTCTAGGGATTCGAATTACAACAAGTACCCTCAAAGAAACGGCACCGTGAACGAGAAAACATTCATTGTTTCATGAGTACTGCGCAGATGACCGTCAATAGTAGTATTAGGTTGTATAATTTCCTTCCTTACAGGTTTTTGGGCTACTGCGATAAAAACCAGTTGTTTTTAATTACCTTAGCATGCTAGTATTTATCTCTAGACTAAAAAATCTTTTCACGTGGTCGTAAATTGATGAATTATTGCTTAATTGAGTGTGCATAATGGTAGTATTAAAAGTCCAGAGAAGCAGCGTTGATGACTAAACCTTCGTTTATATAGTGGGTGCCTTCTGATTTATACAGCACTCATAATTAATAAGTAAGCCTGAATGAGACGTTTCTTTTTCTGCACTAGGGTGCATCGTATTTTTTATTGGATGTTCAGTTCAACTTTCATTGGATGGGTGTTCGTGAAGTTGAGCTTCTCAGGTAAAGCAAGCATTCTGACTTTACAAAGACGGTTGCGGGGATGAACACACAGGACATATCACGACAGCGACAAACATCTTTGAATCGCTTTTGTTTCAAGCTTTAAACCGTTTTATTTCTAATCAGAAGATATCGTTAGCCTCCCAAATATTGCGATATTCTCTTCTGTTGCTCTCTCTTGTTCTCTCTTGCTTCTCTTGTTCCAAACAATTTTTATCCCAATTACACGTTCACTGGGAAAAACTTTGAACATCCTGGGGACAACTTTGCGGTGAACCACCGAACATTGAGTCTTCTTGTCCTAATAAAATGTTACCAAAATCAACAATAAAATAGCCCGATAACCAAAGCGGAATACGATGCCATTCAGTTGTGACGATTTTGCGCCGCTAACCTGAATATCCCACGGTCATACCAAACGTGGTGCAATACACCGATCAAATGTCAAGGTCAATCCAATTTCTGCGGAACGTCGAAAGCCGCATGATGAATGCTGCCTATTCTAGGGTCCAGCCAAAAAAACGCATTTGGTCCCTTTGGTTTTTGTATGGTCTTTACTCTGGATTTAGTCCACAGCATTTCACTGTTTTCATGCAAAACGAAATAATTTAGGTCAAACCGATGTCATCGCGTCCACTGGCCCAAACAAATAGAAAGGCTGAAATCAACTGAACAAAGGTGAATCAGATTAATTAGGACCAAATAATCAATACAGACTGGTAAGTTTATCAGTCCTGTTATCTGCAGTGCATTTATGGTGTAACATATGCCGTAACATTCGGTGTACGTAACACTGCAGGAAATGTTGTTTTAACCGTTGTTAGGCCTCAGAACACCATGTCGTCTGTTTCATAAACCCTGTACAACATTCATCTTGAAGATTGCCGGTCTATGGACATCCATTGCTTGAATAGTTCTGTCCGCCTGATATATTTTTCACTTGGTCAGGGGTCGTACGATGCTGGCTGCTTTGTTAACAACCATGCTAGTTATTCGGTTTGTGTATGACCCCAGCGCTCAACTTTCCGATTATTTAGAGCTTAATTCATCCACTGGACGCCTAAACAGTCAGTTTAGTTCTTCTTATACTTCATCACTTACTGATGTCTTGATAGTTGACTTTTCCTCTACAGAGTCGCAACCTCCCAGGGATTACAAATATATCCATGGTCTCCAGCCAAAAAAACTCCTTCAAAAATAAATAATATTTAGTTGTATAAAAGGAGACAGGCCCATGTATAAAAAAGAGACAGCATATGATACACAGATCAAAGCAGGCATAGCATATCTCAGATCGGGAACTATACACATTAGTACTCTAAATGTACGTGTGGAGTTCAGTTATTCTATATAAACACTATACTTTGTTTGTAGGAGAGTCTGTCTGGAATGAATTTCATTGGAGCTGAAGCATCTTTAAAAGATTTTTTCTGCTGTGTATCGCAAATTAGGAATAAACTGGCCAGTTGCCGATGAGGTCATCCGCATCATGTGAACGCGGCAGCTGCATTGCCTCTGTATTAGCCAGTCGTCTTCGAAGCAGGCTGATTTCTAATTCAGCCATATTCAAATCACATCGAACCCGGCCTAACTCACTCACCAAACTGTGAGCGCGAGCGCGATATCCAGCAGCTTCTGCGCGGGCTTGAACAGCAAGTGCCCGCCAATAACGGATTTGTTCCTCGGGTTCCAGCTGGCCTGCAATTGCGCTTTCGTTGATGGATGATCCCCATGAGCCGCCAGCACCACCGAATTCCGCAAGAAGACCCGGTTGTACCTGTCGACGTACTCGGACACGCTCTTGCCGCTTGTCAGTGTTATTTGTAAAGTACCGACTGGCATCGACTGAATCAAATGTCATGTTAAATGGTGGAGGTTTGGGTGGCGTTTCATCTTGATAATCAAGCGGTGGTATATTATTAAACCTACTCTCTGAATGGGGTGCACTACGATATAGATTTACTCCCATTTTCGTGTTTTCCGGATACGACCAGGTTAGTCCAGCAGTTCCGATATCCGACTTTGCGGTTCTCAAACCAGTTCGAAAATTTTCTGGATGCCTATGAGTTGGATAGCAGAATAACGATCGTTTTGGAATTCGGGAAGCGCTTCGTTGAGTAGGCATCAAGGTCATTGTCGTGTTGCCTGATATGGTTTGGGGTACATTTGGTCCAAACTGGCGGTCAGATGACCTCACTGGGTATGTTTCCGCATAATACGGTTCTTGGTATACACTGCGACTTCTCTGTGTGCCAAGGTCGTATTGATCTATAGTCATGTTTCGTTGTGGCCGCCGTCCAAGACTGTCTCCAGCTAGAAGTACAGAGTGGATAAAAATGTAATCAGCAAATCAATTATTTGAAAGCAACAGCTCTGGCTTTGAAGATACGGGCGACCACGTTGTCGGACGCCTTAGTGAACAGATGATAGTGCCTATATAATGCAGTGTGCGAACCGTAAAACGGATTCTGGAAAGTTGGACTGTTTACCCGAAATATGGTGACTTTCTCTGCAGCCATGTTAAAAGGCTTATTTCATTCCTAGCCGACATAGGCATCCCTCTATCGAAATTCAAGCGTTTCACTCGCACATTTCAACATAAAACTGACTTATCTGACCAAATATGGTACGCAGTGGCCAAAACGGTACAGATATATTTCATAAAATAAGAACAACTTGAAACTTCTGAACAAGCATTCATTTTCCTACAATTTTTCATGTTTTCTAAGCCCCTCAGCCTCAGCTCCGGATTAAACTCAAAACTGTATTTTACTGGAGCGTCTAGCACTTACGAAATAACCTTTAGAAAATGTCTGATAAGAGTAGCTTGCTTTATTTTCACGTTGAATGATGCTGCATTACATGACTTATGAAGTTAATAACCGGGGAATTCCGCGCTTTTGTTACTGTCGTACAAACAAATTTATTGTTCCTGGGAAGAAAATTCGGCACAACAGTATTTTGCCCCGCGAATCCGCGTTTTGATCTACGTATGAATAAGATGTATCTCACAACGACTGCTTCTATATTTCAACTGCTAAGATGTACGAAGCACCGAAGTATACCTCCTAAGCGTAAAACACCATTCATAAGGTTGCGGGAAAATCTCCTATAGGTCACTTGTGGTTTCGCAATCCTTGGCGCTCATCAGGTAGGTGTGTTCTTGCCTATCCGTCAATAGCATGTTCTATTTCTACACTACATTACAAATTATTGGCGAAGTGCAGTCATTGTAAGATTAAGCTGGTGCTACTCCTGTTCTAATAAAAGGTAATTTATCGGAATAGACTGATCTTGTTAGGTTCATGAGCTTCGTCCGTACAATGGTTTCTCAATGAAAAAATCCCCATCTTAACCGCTAGCTCGCTGTTGATTTAATCAGGCGTTATCCAAAAAGTAACATTATTTTCAGTGAGTCTTCGTATCAACGATTCTTTATGAACAGCTCAAACACAGAACGAACTTACAAACAGTGCCAATAGATTCTGTCTGCATCACGGATAAACCGTTTCTAGTTGCTCTACTAGAAACAGAACGTCCAATTCCAGATGACCGACTGGGGCTTTCATGTGGCTGCGAGTCAATGGGAGAGGAATTTAGGTTTGTACGAGTGTCAACCTGGCACTCAGTCAGTGGTATGGCTTGATTTGGTTGTACACTTCTGAAGGAGTCTAAGGCCGTAATCGGATTATCCCGGTCGGTTTCTACGGAAGATGACTGCATTTGTGTGTTGCCAGGAATAGTGAGTTGTCTGCGTCTCGAATTGCTTTGATGACGTTGACGGGTTGATCCAAACAGCGTATTGTCAAACTGGGAAGATGGTGCTATACACAGTCGAAAAAGCTGCTTGTGATAGCGAATAAACTGTGTGCATGTAAGGTTGATTAGTGGAGCTGCCGATATTTCAACATCTAAGTCTCCTTCCTCCTGGCGCAGAATGTTTGGTGCGAAGATACTTGCTAAGTTTTCCACTGTCATCAAGTTAACTTCGTGATGTTCAGCTACCTATGGAAGGAACAGAAGAGTGAAATAAATAAATTTCAACTTCTGAAGTGATTTGGTAATGACTGATGATCATTTGAAATGAGTAGCTCAATTATATTCCGGTTTTATTGAAATAGGAAATTGATACTTATTGATACTTATTAATACTTACAGATGGCAGTAACAAAGAAGTCATATGAAAGGCAATGTGCCTTTGTTTACTCATTTTCAAAGACGCACTCTCAGATGGCATCTGGAGAAGAAACACTATCAACACGATAGCTTAACTAAACGCGTTCGTATACTGATTTTGGCTAGCAAAAGTTTCCGTCTGGGAAGTTGATTCTTCAATCTACCTTACAGCAAACACTTAGAAAACCGAACATTCTTGTTAAACTAGTTTCATGGAGCGAGCATTCAGGGACTCCTCGAATGATCCCCAATCTCGGTAGAATGCCGATTGGTGGAAAAATCACTGTAAACCTGCATAATTAGCAAACCGAAATCATACTGTTGTGTCAGTGCAAGTAGATTTTCTGCTGGAATTTAAAAGCTCTGTAATTCTACCGCGTTGTTATTGACACACGTGGCACAAACAAGATCAAACTAGGTGACCCAGATAGAATTACCTGGACGGCCTAAAATATACGTTATGTTGTCAGGCCGTTCAACCGATTAAAACGCTGCAAATGTGTTTTCTGGTGGAGGCAAAGCCGAATAAATTAAGTGGATTTGGTCCCCAGTCACACTTATCGTTAGACCAGGGTACGCGTCAGGGTTTGTCAACTGACGATTCACACCTGCCTTTACCGATAGGTTTCCTCGTCTATGTGATGTTACACGTTTGATGACGTAGAACGCTGCTGTCAGATTTTGACCCGCTGTGTTATATTGATCGCTCAATGTTGTTCTTGAACGCATTCGACTATTTTACCCCATTGACGCCCCCATACTTTGTCAACGTATTTATCATTCAGCCCTCTTTATTCGCGTGCTGGGAAGGCATCAACTTGCTTTATATCATGACAAATACATCGTGGCAGTAAAGCCGTATGCGACACTTTGTGAAGAAAATCAACATAATTTCCGTGACATGACTGGTTGGAAGCACTAACCAAGTAGTTACCCTCTACATTCAGTCGTATAGTAGGAATAGCAAAGATGACAGAATTGTTCTAACATAAGGAAATGACCTTGTTCAGTACAAAACATCGGATAAAACCTAAAGCACACCCAATCCGTAAGAAAATCAGCAGCCATAAAATGATTGAAAACGGTTCTGTTAGATATTGAAAATAATAAAAAAAATGCACGAAGCCTGATGTGAAATACTTTTATTTACACAGAATTCCTCCTTTTTTCTGGTACGTAGAGCTGATATGTTTAATTACCAAACTTGAGTCGAAGTCCAGTAAGGTAAGCAATGACCACCCACATATCGTTCTCTGCAATGCCTCCCAAGGTTGCAAAACAAATTAACTCAGGTTATTCGACTTCTGTTTCTGGTAGAGGTGAATACTACTGTTCCATCAACATTTTAAAAGAACAGAGGTAATTCCGCCTTACAGTTGAGAAATATTCACGAATGTGCTGGGTATACCATCATGATCTCTAGAGATGTACAACAGCTACTTGGACGACTTTTATTGTCAATTCCAATTTTAATCATGGTTTACCAAATTACAAACACTAAGGCGCCTTCATATTCCTTGAGTAACCATGGGGAAGCATGGTTTGCCAGCTGATTACATCTGAGGAGGAACACTGATCCATGAGTTTGGCGCATCTTAGCTACACTGAACCAAAGAAATTCCGTTTAATCCACCAAGATGGCTTCTCTTGATGTTGAATCACCAGATACTAATATACCTTTGGATTCCTACGGTACTATACCGTTAGCTAACATATATCGGTAGACCTCCAGTCTACCTAACTATGCGATCTGGGTACACTGGATATTAAATTTGACTATGGAAACTTCGTCTGCCATCAAAAAGATACCCCCGCCCTTTGGAGCTCTGTGAACAGTACGTTTGCTAACATTTCCTTTGCTATGAAAGGTAGCCAAGCATATAACAGATAGTCCGCTTTAGGACTTCCGGAAAGCAGACTGACTCGTGTTATTACCTAGCAAAACTAGCCTTCATTTCATCGATGATCCTACGAATTTCAAAATAAACCCTTAAATGACGTGTGAACAAGATCGCTCATGGTTTGAGCACCTGAAACAGATAGGGAACATGCCGCTGTCAAAAAAGGAGGTTTATCTGCAACGGTTATTCTGAATACGCTAAATAAAAGCAAAGAACCGCCCGAAATCGCATCTTTCCGGTTACGCAACCCAGAATGGTCTAGTTAACTGTATTTCCAAGACTCCAAAGTGATAGAATTGAGTGGCGGATCCTTCTGAAGAACGTGGCATCTGTCAGTAGGTAAAAAAACTGATCATGGTTTATCAAAAGACAAGACAAACTTTATGTGACAACACTCGGCTAACCTATGATCTACGACATGAAACCTAACGCAATCGACTGCAAGTCATCTGGTGATCACAGGTCATTACTTTGGTCCATATAACCATCCAGTGTTTTACTACATAATTGGAAAACCAAGATACCGACTTTTAGTGGAACACTCTAGAGCACGTCGCTTTTATATACACGAGAGTAACCAACTCTACCGACTTGACATTGCACCCCAACCAGACCCATTCTCTTTGAATGTATCCTCACGGTTTTTAGTGTTAAAGCCTTCACTAACTGTTTTGTCTGGGTGATCGCTGGAAATGGGAAAAAGGTTAGCATTTATTTACTGATATCACTTCATAATGGTTTTAGTAAAGTCTTTCAGTTATCGCTGTTTAGTTTGTTCCGCTCTATCAAGACATGCACTTTAGTGACTTGATCATATTGTTCGCTAGGGTATATGAGAAGAGGAATTAAGTGGATTTATACTCAGGAGTAAAAACTCGTTGGGGACCTGTTCAACCTTGCGCGCTTCAGTGTGACTAGCTGACTGTCTACAGAATACCGTGCAATGATTGATTCAATTAAATCTGTCCGTTAGTATATGACGTTCCTGGCTACAAAGAATTTAATCGCTGGCGCAGCGTTTTCAGGTATCTGTCGAGTTAATTAGTATCTGCTTGGAGATCGAAAACCTCACGACCTCATCATATGTTTTTTCTAGTTTGTATAGCCTAATTATGCTTACTAAGTATGAGTAAACTTACTAATCAGATCATTCTTTCGATTCTCCGTTCGTCTCACTTTGAATGCTTCATCACCACCCGAAATCAATGTGACGTGGTAAATGAAATTGCGTCATATGTATGTAGTAGAGCGAAACTCGGCGTTAACGGTGCAGTCAGAGAGATTATTGACCCAGAGAGAGGTGAACGATGGACAAGCTTAACTGCCTCTGATGTGAGTCGTTTCAAGAAGGTTAAGCTAATGAGACATCACAAGCTGCCGGTTAGTACACGGTTATTCAGCAATATTTGGGGTGGATGAAAACGGCAATGCAGATAATTCGTCAGCCAAACAAGACCTTATGGCCTATAGCTCATCTGGTAAAAATTCTTTTGACACCAACATTGAATGTGCATAACAAACATGTGACAAAATAGACGCGGTACGATTACAGATACAAAAAGAGTCAGATTGCTCCATTTAGCTGCTCATTGAAAAGTCAGTCTTGGTTCTCTGAGAAAAGCTCAAACCACACATCCGTACTGAGGGTATAGCTAATTATATTGATACCTCATATCATCTAAAGTATACTCAAGAAACTTCCGTACTAATACCTTATCACCTCTGTAACCTGGGTTGTCAGTTGTGGAGTAAATCAAGTGCATGTGCATTTAGGGTCAATGAATGGAAGTCCTATCTTGTTTTACTGTAATTTAACGGACTATCTGAAACTACGAATTTTCGTAGTTTCGAAATGCATGGGAGCTGAAAAGAGCCAATATTCTTGTATATTTTTTGCAGTGCGGTCTTGAAATTTTCAGTTGGGTCTTCATCTCTTATGTGAGGCCAATGTACTTCGGAAACCTGGGAGCACTGTGCAGCTGTGTGTATCATACAAACCTCTGATTAGTTGCAAATCAGCGACCTCCCGAACACAACTTTTTGGTCCTGAGTGGCTTACTAGCAATGTGGTTAATTTGCCACGGAACTCAACGCGAGTATGGCACATTTGAGAGTTCCACAAGATGAGCACTACTAATCATTCCTAGTAAAGATTAAACTATCGTGAGATTATTTTCTCTTCTTTCAATTCGGAAGCCCAATTGATCATCCATATAGTCCAGGACTGTTGTCAGTAGGGAGATTCAGAAACAAGCAATATATATTTGTCCGGTTCCGGAAGGTTTGGGGAAACTTTAGCCGAACTGTCGTAGGCATGAGAGAACAGGATAGTCGGTCTCACACAGCATATCGAATTTATGGCATACAGTCGAACTGCTTTCTTTCCTCTGGAAAACAGAAAACCTTAAGCATGTTGGATAGCTTTATAAAAGTAGTGTACTTCCCCTCATGTGTGATTATGTTCCTCAAGCCGTGTAGACATTCTTTGTTAAAGGTGAACTGAACGTCGATTTGTACGTTTTGAGTTATCTACATGAGGTATTATACTAACCTTACTTGAATTATATTCAGTAGCATCTATTCTGAACGTAAAGTTTTAAACGTTCTCATTCATTTGAGGGACGACGTTAGAGTACGGTGTGATAAAAATCAATCAGTTCAATTTATTGCTACGCAAATTGTACTGAATAATGTGTGTGGTCTTGGTAATGCTATCTAGACATCTCAACAAACAGTCACTTGAGAAATCAGGCCTCCTGCTTTAGATGAAAGAAACAGGTTGATAAGCGATGTCAACGATTAGTAGAGCTTTTTCTGAAAGCGAGTCATGGAATGCAGACAATCCAAATTAACCGATTTTATAATACGTCGCTCTTATCACAGTATCTTAGTACGTTCATACGGAAAAGGTACGAAGTGCTGAGTATCACTGAAAACACATTGTATAACATTTTGTGTCACAAGAGGCCGAAATATAACAGCTCTTTCCAGAATGGAACCAATAAAAAAACTGTCCTCTTGTTTGTTGGTAGGCTGATGGGTGACGGTGAGCTATGGGAAATGCTATGAAACTAAGATTAGTGCAAAAGTCTGAGTCACTAGAGTTATGCCCGTTCTGAAATTAGCGTACAGTGAGAATCCATACTGATCCGTTCTGTTCATTAGCGAATTTGCCGACAGATGTTATCTACCCCAGCCTGCAGCTTTGTGTATCGAAACCGACTTGATCTATTCACTCGAATTGTGATGCAGTTTGTGATAACCAGGTGGCATAGGGGACAGCTTTTACAAGACGCAACGAGCTGGGCATTTCCGGAGCGTGGGTTTATCAGACTGTTTGTGAAAACCTTCCTATCAACAGGACTATTCTTGAGAGTAGGAAGGCAGTCAAAAGCATCTTCTGCTTAGCTAATATTATAAATAAGTTAATAATGAGGGGTGCATTAAACTCATCACCTTACCAAGGCACTCAAAATTAGTCAACATAGGAATTGGCTGACAACATCTGTAACCATATGTCTGTCCGTCGCAGCATGCGTTCCACAGCGCAAATCAAAGTAAAAGCAGATGTCTTGGAAATTTGAAACATCCAAACCCAAGTGCAGGTTACAAAGCATGGATTTTAAGTACACGTTGGCGTAACTATATTCAGTTGTGCTGACTTACGTGTCACTACGCACTTCATGCATATTTGTGACAAAAGCATCTATAAGAATGTTATCCACGAGTTTATTAAACAGCGGTCCAAAACCAGATGACTCTTGTCATTCTCTACCTCATGCATTCAAGGTTCAGTGTTCAAATGTGCCGAATTCGTCATATGGAAAGTGTTCACTAAGTGGTCCTCGTAGGCAGTGGCCTTAGCAGTGCCACCCAAAAACTGTTCTTCAGAACAAAATGTCATTCACCAAACGGACTTTACGAGGTCATCACTTCTACATATCAAACTGCCGTTAGCTTAAGTCTAACGTCTAACCCGTTTGTATATAAAAGGTTCTTCGTTACAATCCAAAAATATGAAAACCGGATGCACCGGTTTCAAGGTCTACAGTTTTTCTACTTAAAACTAACGAACCACAAGGTCTCGGGGGATTTTCTTTTAATATGTGGTTCATAAGTTCATTTAAAATAATGCCATTTACCCAAAACGTCTCACTGCTGTTATGGGCACCATGCATAGCCTGCAGGATAATACTGATGCACAAATATCGTTCTCATATATATATATATATATATATATATATATCGGTTGGAAACCCAAAACGCCCTGTTTTTACGAATTAGCTCAGGTTATTAGTGACAGATACGATTGCTCCCTGACATGAAGGACCATCCGGCCTTCCGTGTGTATCAGGACCACCTTGGTGAGTTTGGAAATATGAAAGACCACGTTTTTGTCCATTTTTCTAGAGCTATCTAGGTTTTTCCGGGTTTTTCTTGTGGTAAACTGGAGCTCAGATGGTGAAAACTGATGCTGCCGTCAAGACGTGTTTGAATGGCAAACGTAGAGAAGAGATGCGTTTCAGGCTTTTAAAAAACTGGTCTAGTTTCTTTCTCCATGAACGAAAAGAATATAAATGCCAAGAAAGTTTTAGGAAAAATCTGGAATCTGGCATATACAGATCCGTCCACCTAGTTATACGTCCAATCAAGTTTGAGTTTGTTAAAAACTTCAAAATCAGCCGAAAATTTCACGGGAGAAGAGGGGTAACTTCCTAAAGGATACTACTCACAAGGTTGCTGAAAACTCTCCGACAACACACGACTGGTTTAATCTTTCATGAGGCTCACGGGCGTAACGTCTGTTCACATCTTCATGTGGGCTTTGCAAACATACTACTCGTTGCTGAAAACTCTCCGACAACACACGACTGGTTTAATCTTTCATGAGGCTCACGGGCGTAACGTCTGTTCACATCTTCATGTGGGCTTTGCAAACACACTATGGGTTACAAGATCTATGAAAATTATGTTGTACCATAGTGTTGAAATCATCTCAGCGACAAGTCACTCAAATAAGTTTACCACAGAAGACGAAGTCACACCGTAGATATGATCTTGCTGAAGAGCTGGTAAGCTGGAGCTAAGATGTTTCAACTCACCCTATCTTTTAAAACTTTTAAAGCCTAGGCTATTCTATGAGCACCTTTCTGTGGCGAACACGGTGGACGGAAAGCTATTTGATAGATAACCCAATTTAACCGCTTACCTTGGCTTTGCGTGCCGCATTGTCAGTTGTATCTGTGAGAAAGTTTCAGTTAGTTCGTCAACCAAGGACGCTGTGTTGCCTAGGGAGTTCATACCACGCAAACTTGTTAAGTAAGCATAACTCGGGTTTGCGGCTTTCTTTTGGTCTGTTTGCACGAAATGGTATTTATTCTGCAAATCTTCTCGGCCAGTCGAAGATATCATTATGCACTGAAGAACGAACCAAAATTCAGAAAGCATGCCACCTGTTTCATTTCTCATCCATAGTAGTACATCACGGGATTTGAGGTATCCAGATGATTTAACGCAAGATTAGCGTTAACCATAGTGCAAAAAGATCAACAAAAATTACGTAACACTGACTAAGAAACTAGAAACTTCAGGGTTTTCTGGCACTGATGACGAATCAATGATGAATCAAAGCTGCCTTCTTTCTGTGAGCTATGGGAAAAGAACTTTCAAGCGTGCGCTGTGACGCATTAAGTTTGCCTGACTTCAAATTACATTGGACGTACTGCGTTTCTTGAAGTGGGCTCAGATGGAAGATTTATTTGGTTTATCAAAGAAAAACACTCCCTTGCGTATCAGACCACATCAGTGTATCTTTGGTGGACTCAAGATTATCAAGTAAACTATGTGGCAGAATACTATTTGCCAGGCTCGAACAAACCGGCTCAGCTAACGCTGTTGTTTGAGTTTGTCTCTGATATACTTGGTATAATATATTCTACACTCAGTGAAGGTATATTGACATAACGAAACTAGCTCCCTGCCAGGTCAAAGGTTGTGGGGTAGTGTACATCTACTCATGTCGCTTCGCCCACATTACTTCTAATTAGATGACAGAATTCAATCAAATCGAACAAATCTCCCAATAGGTGGTAGGTCACATAAACACTCACTTACAAGTTTTCTGAACACTTTTCGATAGCTTTCCACCGGCTACGCTCATAACCATTATAAACGAGGGACTTAGCTGCGTTCCAGGTGCGATTCCCGTCAAAGCCAAATTGGTATGCAAATGAATGTATTTCGCTAAGAAATTCTGTATTTTCGAAACCTTACCGTCTGTCCAAGAAGCCTGTATGCTGAAACGTCCCTACATTAGAGGCAGCTGTGGAGAAAGTCTTCTTGTCCTATTAATGGTGCTGATTTTTTCCCACGTTGGCGATGTACACAAAATACTAAAAACCTAATCATGATTGGGTACGGCTACCACCAATAGGATAAGAACAATGACAAAACTATAAGGCAAAAAAATAAAGCTTCCCCTTGGTACAAAATTGAAAACGCTTGTGTGTTCGTGACGGCTCTTGGATGGAAACAGAATATTCCGTGAGATTTGCCCAGCTGCCGACTTATTTACACTATGTGATCATCATATTATATTGCATATTCTGTATGCACATTTTACCACATATTAAATCGTATTTTTATACAACTTAAACAGACGCACATGCGTACACTTACACAGAGAACGGAAATTTTATGGTATTCACCAGAGCGCTTGTGATTTTCAAAGCAGTTGAGGCGAAGAATGATGACTAACACTATGTAAAAACAACCTGCGTCAGAATCTGAAAACTCCTGTGTTCATAGGTATTATTAAAAAAACGGTAGGTTACGAGTATTTTACTGAAAATAAACATAATTTTCTTGGATTTTTATCCCTCAGTTGTTAGTCAAAAGCTGTGTGTGTGGTTAATTTAGGAAACTTGTCACTGTTATTATCAACTTCGTCTAAGGAGAGTTTAAGAAGAACAACGATGAATAACCGTAGAAAATCAATTGGTAAATTTGCCCAAACCAATTCCATGTTACAAATGAAGTTACACTTGGCTAAACGTGAATTCGGAAACATTATAGGACAAAGCTCTGATTGGCCTCAGCGCGATCCTATTAATATGACAGCAAACTGTCAGCCAACGAATAACCTAATCTCTGCTGGATCAATAAACGGCTGATGCCATTTTGTCATCCATTCTGGTCAGAGGGCACAACATTATCACAATTTCCGAGGCTAAAAATGTTATAAAACTCGGGCCAATTTGTTTGTCTGTTAGTTACGAGTTGCAAAACAGAAACGTGTTCGAGTCAGCGGACTGCTAGTATCCAAAACAAGTTTTGTGGACACTATATGTAAACTGCAGATATGGCGATGCTGAATCAAGAAACGTTTGCCTAATGGTCAATCCGATCACCAAACGGTGCTGTGCTTTATAGGCTTATGTAAGTGAAACGACCTATAAATCAAAATTATATCCAGTGGCATGTACTACTCGTAAGCCTCCGAATTCCCATATCATTTGAATGCACATTGCTGACTTACTTCACTCAGAAATTGACAAAGGAATTGGAGTAGATGATAATTCGGCGCTGGAAGCATTTCTATTGAATCTGTCACCATTTCTTGATCCTGTCCAAGTTGTATCTTAAATCCAACAGATTTCAGTCGGTCATAAAAGGCGAAAGGAACAACAGGCTCGGGTAGTTCACGTAGATACAGTTTTAACAAACCGGCGGCTATGTGGACACTGTGTTCCTTGGGGTGAAGAATTGGTCCCGGGGATGCTACGTCGTATGCTTCTGCGAGTGCTTGAATTTGATTTTGTGTGCCACACTTTCTGGAACCGAATTGATGGGTTAAGTTACCACCACTTCATTTGGAAAAGAGCAACTGCTAACTTCAAACATCTTTGTCAAATGACCACAATCACTTATAATTTATGGGCCTAAAAGCTATTGTGATCTTTCGTTCTCTCTCGCTGAACACACTATTGCATCTGGTTACGCACGTCGCTCCACTAACCTAATTAAATATAGTAACTATCGATTGGGATCATTAGCAAAAAGTGCCGTTTTAGCAAGTCACTTAAAAGAGATAGATTTTATGATAACCTAAAGTAGCGTTCAAGAGTTAAATTTTGTTAGACTAAAGTGTGTGAGCTGACCGGAATATACCCTCCGTTGTCATTCCGTACTCCCGGATAAATGCAGTCGATTCGTATACGACCCTTGGAAGGTAGTCATGTTCTGGCCGAGTATAAGGGAAAACCTCTTCAAGTTTCGACCCAAACAAGGCTGAAGAAGAGGATAAACGAAATAAAAATGCTTTTAGTTTAATTCTGGCCTACTAAAGATCGTGAGAGAGTATGCAGAAACGGTTGCCTAAACATAACAAAAAAGAATTTATAAGTTAACTTAGTAGTATCTAATGCATACATCAAATATGAATATCACACCATAGTACATACTGATTCAACATGAAGTTTTCTCCGTACTGCCCGACTTCAAGTTCTACACCCGAAATTTTACTGATAGTTTACAGGTAAGATAAGGAAGGGGTCGTTGATTATTATTTGTGTGCTGACAACAAGGGTGAGAAAGTGAATAAAAAATAAAAAATAACATCCCTTAGTCATAGTAACATATTATCTCCTTGCCCATTCAAAGGATTGCATCTCCAGCCTCAAAACTTACGCTTTATACTTGGTAAATGTTCAAGTATGAGAAAATGGCTAAATATACTGAATGTCAATGGAAAATAAGCTTTATGGGTTCAAAAGCGATAAAAAACAAGTTTCGGATCAAAAGCATGACGTTCTGGATGATTTTGTGCGATAAAAGAATTACGCACACACAACCACTTTTGAAAAAAGTCATTATTCACGTTGGAATAAATGGATACAACTAAATGGCAGCAGGGCGTCGAGTGTTTGTCCGAGGGGCTTCAGACGATCAGTCTGGAGTCGAGAAATGTGATAAAGCACTGACACTTCCACAATGGAATCAAGCGACTTTTTTTACCAAACGATGTTTGGTAGTGTCTCTCAATATCTGGTTGGCTCCAGATGAATTTAGCATTTGTGATGGTATTTTTTGGATCTCAAAAGTGGCCTCCGTAACGACGAAGCGAATGTCAATCGTCCGTCTGAACGGACGTCTGCACCTATTATCGTTAGACGTCAATAGCACTTCATAATAACAGTGTTCAGGCGATGCTGGCAGATTAAAGATCGGGTGCTTCAAGGTTATTCGTAAGTGCCTGGACCATAGTTGCAATCCGTGCAATAATATCACCGTTGCCAGGCGTTTCAGTTCTGCCCAACAACCTCAGTAATTTTGGAGATACCATCAATTACGTGTGTCAGTAACACTGAGTATACATACAAGTTTTTACCACACAGATCACAAGTGCAAGCTACCTTTACGTTTCACCGTACATAATTTGTTCGAAACTTTGTATACATTTTAGGCAAAAAACAGTTACCAGTTTCTGAACCAAAGGATAGTAACGTAGGGTAGGTACGCCACTCCAAGATGTACCGTATCATATAAGTGTTCTACATATAAAGGTTATCGCTGCAATCCCCCAGTAAGGCGACGTGAAACAAGTACCGATGACTGCAAATTGAGAAGTAAGACCCGTTCAAAAAATCAAGTACTTTGATATTCTGGTATTCTAATAAATTTCGGGCAAGTTAATCTAGTTTGAAGTTTTTGCCTTACAGTGAGTTAGCATACAGGCGTAAGGGGGCCAAGGCACATTCACCCCGGTTTGAAAATGCTTGGCTTCAGGCCTAGCACATCTGGCAATTATGGATACATCATTAATGCAAGGAATTTCTACACATACTGTATGGATAATTTTCATTATGTAATGCGGCAGTCTAGAGACAGTAAAGCAGGTAACTCAGGAACGAACAATGATTTCAAACCAAAGTAGAAAAATGAACAACACCCACTTTATTTAAATGTTTCATAGAAAAGCGAGTCGTTTACAAACTGGTAGCGGCGTAGGCTTTCTCCGTTCTACACGACTTCTTAATTTCAAGCGGCCGACGAAAACGAAAGCATATTGTAATATTTAACCGAGAAACAGCTTCTCCAAAAAAATCCTATCGAAACTAAAGATTACTTCCACGTTACATAGAACCAGGGTTTTGACCGACCATTAGAAATACGAACACTCTGGGCTGAACAATAACTACCTAGTTTGCCTATCCGGTCCTTCTAAACAAAAATTGTGCTTGCGCATTTTGGGTTAGTGACCTTCAATTTTTCTCCGTATGACTACTGGTAAGACCGATGAAATTCGTGATAGCCCATTACATCCACCGTCCTCCTTCGTGTTCTTCTGGTGAACGTGGCCAACGAACTGCCACCAAACTTGTTCAGAATTCGAACGTTAAATCGTTGATTTGCGACCATGAACACCACTTCGCAGGTATGTGCTGGTATTAACGGGATAGCAACTGAAGTTCGGATGATGATTTTGTCTCTGATATCCACCAAAACATTTCAAAAGCATGTTATAAAGACTGGTGTCCAGGCACTACTCCAAGATCAATTTTCTCCTGCCCTCAGAACACTTATCAAACTGTTGAATAACAAACCGTTCGTTGCTGCAAAAGTTCAAACAAGTAAGTTGATGAAGTAGCAGTCACTGTAAGTATTGAGAACAGAAACTTTGACAGTGTTATCTACTTTTCGCAGGGGAACTGACGATTACGGGGCCATAGGCAAACAAAGTAAAGTTGTTCATCAGAAGGTCACTCGTCTGACTCTACTGGAACCGCCTGATTAGTTTCTGCGACGAATCTGTTTACAAGGCACCCACATAAGGGTGTCCCACCTAGGTACTCAGAGAAAAGTAAATTTATGCTAAATATTACCGGCTCATGGCCGAAGCGTACTGCCATCATGTGAATCCTTCTTTGAGTGTGGCCTTGTCTTCTGTCGACCAGAATTCTTTTGGATCTTTGTACTTAGAGGATCTCTGTCCTATTGTAACGAACGTTTGGTCTCCATCGTTTAGAATGCACATTTTGAGAACCACATGTGACATTACAAGGCTTCAAAATTGCACGTGAACCTAGCGAATAAGAATAAAAGGTGTCTAAAAGAAGCGCCTATATCAGAAAGAAAACCATAATCAGGGAAAAAATAATGCGTGTTGTGATAGTTTTGCCCCTGGGAACAAGATCCTCGTTTCACCCAATAAACTGTTTTAGCGACGGCTATGTCGTTTCCAGCTGTGGCACCCCCTTACCGGTCACTGTCGATCTAATGTCCCAAGTCACTGAGTGACCATGGAAGCCCCTGAACAAAAGTACCGAGCAGACGGTCAGTGCGTTACCATCGCATGCTCTTATTCATTTTTATCTAGTTAACTTTGTATGGGGGTGCTTGCTGGATTCATCGGTTATCGCACCAGTTAATAAGAGGCATATACAAGGTGATCCCCGACTTAGAATATTTATGGCCTTAGCTACCATATTTGTTCCAGCATCTGGTGATTATGTGTGCAGTTGAAGAGAATATTGATATTTCCTGCATTGGCTTGTTTACCGAGTTGGGTTATTGTTTGCAAACGCTTAATCACAAGCCGAGGCGATATGGTCATTGCGTTGTGAGTGAAACTGCGTTGAGCTGGAAAATACGTGTTTTTTGAATGCAAAGATTGGTTTAGGGTCTAGCCCCCCATGACGACCTTGACTGATACTGATCGTCTGCGTGAGTCTTCCTATCAGTCTATTGACTGTTCCTATCTGTTCCTATCAGTCTGTCTGTCGGGTGACGGGTTGGTGGTGAAAGCTGATGTCCTCCGTCCTTTTACCGTGACCTCTGTCCGTGCGTCTGTTTCTTGGTTCGTCGGTTTGATGCCCAAGGGTTACTCAGTGTTACCATTGAGTTGTCACTTCCTGGCTCGTAGTGATGCGTATACAGAGTCAATTTCGATATGCAAATTGAAGGGGTCCTTTCTGGAGCACCAAGTTTCTAGGAATTCCTTCTCTCGTTTTTTACTTCTGGGTGTTACAATTTTCATGTTTCTCAGATTAAATGTGTGTCTATCCAGTTCTTGATGTATGGAAACAGAAGTTGGTGAGCCGTGCCTTTGGACTGCTGCACAACATGCGCGGTACGTTTTCTTCTAGTCTGTCCAGTATAATATCCTCTGCAGTCTGTGCAGTTGATTTGGTAGAGACATTGTTTCTGGTGTCCTAATGTGTCGTGAAACAAGCTTTCTAACTGAATCTGCTGGATTGTGGACACTTCCAACCTCTATGCACTTCTACGTACTGATGAAGTCACCTAGGCTGGTGACGGGACGTTTGCAACTGAGTCAGCCAGCTCAACGAACAGACCAACGGCAGATTCCATCTGTTTTCGCGAACATCACTAGGTGCCTGACTTAAAACTTAAGGAGTTACGGTTGTGGCTGTGTTTTATATTGAAGGGAGCTTAGACCTGAAGCATTATTTTTTTATCCCGTGGCCCATTTCCTTTATGGATCCGTGTCACGATTTAACCTGTCCCATTCATCATCGTCATTCAGAACGTCGCCAACTTTCGGGGGTTTAACTACAGTGCCATCTAAATAAATCCAACCAGGAATGTGACGGAAATCAGAAAGGATGATAAATGTGTTAGCTGGTAAATCCAGAGCCAGCAGGTTTCAACATTGGCTGCTGAAGCCAGCCAACCGGGCTGGTCATGACAAGATATTTTTAGTTTTCGGAGGTAGCCCTAATGATATGTGAGGGACATATGTCGAACAAGGCGCACTGAGCACCCTAACGATCTCAGGTTGCAAAAATATGCAGCAGATGTCAGGTAACTAGCACAAAGTCAACCTTGAAATTTACCAGTGCAGTGTGATACGGTTATAGACATTTGCAATCAACCACAACAAACCGAATTAATTAATTACAAGTAGTCACAAGATGACCTAAATACAGACCTCCTAATTTCGTCCAATTCAGCAACAGCACGTGATGCGGTGATGTGTGTTGAGCAGTCATACCTTTGTATTGATCAAACGAAAGTGGTGTAGAAAGCACAATTTTTCTGGGTTGTACGGTCAGTCTACAATTCGATGTTGGATTCGCACACACAGAACGGCTCAACATGACATTGAAATCACCCTTCGTCTTAGAAGACAGTGTTCAGATAGTAAGACAACGGGCTTAAGTACTTCCTAACAATGCCATATCATGCTGGAAAACACAAGCTTTCAATGCGACTCACTGAAGAAAACAGTGCACCATTATCGGAGAAGTCCAGGTCGTCTCAGATAA